TCTTCCCTCCCCCTCTCCACTTGATTCTCTTGGTACAGTCTCCCCCAACTGCCTAAAAACATCTATTCTATTTCCCTTTCCTAGAGACATCTGAATGTCTCCTCTTATTTCTTTACTCTATATTTAATCTCTGTAGTTCTATACCTTGGTTGTCAATGACTTAGCAGCTAATATCTAAATATAAACAAATATGTACCATTCATATTTATCACCCCACAAAAAATTCCGTAAGGATCAAAGACTTCAACATAAACCAGATATATTAAACCTGATAGAAGAGAAAGTGGGGAATAGCCTTTAACTCATTGTCTTAGATGAAGACTTTCTGGGTCTTTATTTGCCTTTATGGGCTGGGTTATCTCATTTGAGGTGATTGCCTTCTACGTCCATCAATTTGTTTGGAAATTTATGATTTCTTTTTTGGTTGATGTTTGAAACAGATGATTATTACTACATTGTGTAAATACACCACCTTTTTTGTATCTACTTTACTGTTGAGAGACATCTACATTGTTTCCAGTTTCTGGCTATTATGAATACAGCAGCAATGAGCATGGTGTCTCTCTGATAGGATGAAATATCCATTGGGTTTATACCGAAAAGTGGTGTAGCTGGATATTGAGATAGATTGATTCTCATTTTTCTGAGGGAATTCCACATTGATTTCCCTAGTGACTGTATAAGTGTATAGTGCTACCAGCAATGGATGAATGTCCCCCTTTCTCCACATCCCCACCAGCATGAGATTTTACCTGTTTTATTGATTTTAGTCATTCTGGTGGTTGTAACATGAGTAAAGTAGTTTAGAATTGCATTTCCCTGTTGACTAAGGATATTGAACATTTCTTTAAGTGTTTCGCAGTCATTCACGTTTCCTTTACTGAGAATTCTCTGTTTAGATCTGCACTCCATTTTTAGTTGATTTTTTGTTTTATTGATATCCATGTTATTTTGTTCTTTATATATCTTGAATATTAGCCTTCTATCAGATAATAATTTAAAGTAATCTTTTCCCATTCTGTAGGCCAGTGCTTTGAATGACAGCGTCCTTTACTGCAAAGCTTCTCACCTTTACAAGGTCCCATTTATTTATTGTTGATCATGGTGCCTGTGCTGTGTTCTGTTCAGAAAGTCTTCATCTAAGACAATGAGTTGAAGGCTATTCCCCACTTTCTCTTCCACCAGGTTTAGTATATCTGGTTTTATGTTAAAGTCTTTGATCCTTATGCAATTTTTTGTGGGGTGATCAATATGAATGTATTTGGAGTCTTCCAGTTTTATCAATACCATTTGTTAAAGATGATGTCTTTTTTCCAGTGTGTGGTTTTTGCTTCCTTGTCAAAAATCAGGTGTCCATAGGTGTATGGATTTATGACTAGGTCTTCAGTTCTATTCTATTGATCAATGTGTCTGTTTTTGTGCCAATACTTTACTATTTTTATTATTTATAGCTTGATAGCACAACTTCAAAACAGAAATAAAAATACTTCCAACAATTCTTCTAGTATTAAGGATTTGCATCTCTCTATGTCTTTCTATATGAAACTGAAGTTTGTTCTTTCAAGATCTGTGAAGAATTGTGTTGGACGAGCAAGGAACCCAGGACAGCGAGGGGTGCACCCACACACTGAGACAATGGGGATGTTCTATCGGGAACTCACCAAGGCCAGCTGGCCTGGGTCTGAAAAAGCCTGGGTTAAAACCGGACTCGCTGAACATAGCGGACAATGAGGACTACTGAGACCCCAAGAACAATGGCAATGGGTTTTTGATCCTACTGCACCTATTGGTTTTGTGGGAGCTTAGGCAGTTTGGATTGCTCTTTGGGCTGACGAGGGAGGGGGACTTGAATGGGGAAGGGGGAGGGAAAGGGGAGGCGGCGGTGGGGAAGAGACAGAAATCTTTAATTAATTAATAAAGAAATAAATAAATTAAAAAAAGAATTGTGTTGGAATTATAATTCAAGTACTTTTTATTTTGCAGATTAGTAATATAGATTTTTGTTCTTTAATCTTCTGGGGGTTTATTGTTATTGTTTTGTTAGCTAAAGAGTTTTTTATTTTTTTAAAAATATTTATTTATTTATTTATTTATTTATTTATTTATTTATTATGTATGCAATATTCTTTCTGTGTGTATACTTGAAGGCCAGAAGAGGGCACCAGATCTCATTACAGATGGTTGTGAGCCACCATATGGTTGCTTCGAATTGAACTCAGGACCTCTGGAAGAGCAGGCAATGCTCTTAACCGCTGAACCATCTCTCCAGCCTCCAGCTAAAGAGTTTTATAAGTTTGAAAAATATTATGTATTCGTATCTTTTACATCAACATTTTCTGATTGAATTTATAATTTTTATTTCAAGCATCAATATTATTAAATAAGTATTTATACAACGAACAGTACTAGGTTTGTGTGATCCACTTCTCAGCATACACTGACACCAGAAACAAGAAAAAATTCATAATATTTCATTTTTGTTAAATAAATGCAGGGACTCCTAGAAGCGGTTTTTGTGAAATAATATAATATTCGTTCAAAAATTCTTTATAATCAATGGTGAATTTTGAGTGAGGAAATATTGTAGCCTACTCTACTTATCTTTGAACTTTTTTCATAGAAACTGAAATTATAAGAGTCATTAGGAATCAGACAATGAAGAATGCCTATCCTAAACTCACCATGTCCCATGTAGACTTTTACAATTTTATATTAATTAATAATTAATTAATAAAAACAAGAACAAAACACTTCCCAGATGATTCCAGTGAGTCAGAAAATACACCAAATGCTGACCTAATTGACCCCTGGGACTTATTTTATTTTCATAGAAATATATGTGTATATTCAAGAAATTTCAGATTTGCTTTCCTGGTTTGAGAGTATTATGCAGCTGGATATTATGATGCTTTCACTTTTACATTAACTAATATAAAAAGGTACTCTTGAGTTTGAGCTGAAAACCCAGTGTAGGGATTTCTTCTGAGGGTTATGAGGTGAGGACATGTTATACATGAAATCAGAAAGGTCTGCTTGGTGCGTGTGGTTTGATGCTTGAAGAATCTATATGAAAGATAAAATACTTTTGTTAATTGTTATACTTTTCTCAATATGACTTAAAAAACAATAAGCTTTTAAATTCATTAGTGAGGCTTTTCAGGTAGCCAGATCTGTATTTCAAAAGTTAAAAAATTAGTTTTCATGTAGATCTTATTTTACTTTAGCAAATAATTCTTGTTTTCAGTTCATTCTCTCAAGTATGAATTATTTATTCAGGACTTTCCATTTTACAAGGGCTAGATATTTTACTTACTTTTTATATATAACTTTGGGCAATCCTTATGACAATCTATTGAATCAATTTTCTATTACACAAGTTACTGATAATAAAATAAGGACATGGAATTAAACATTTAACTGAATTGCTGAGATAAAGTAGCCAGAGACATAAAAGGCAGGGATTATAATCGCTTTTTTTTTTCTAGACAGGGTTTCTCTGTAGCTTTGGAGCCTGTCCTGGAACTAGCTCTTGTAGACCAGGTTGGTTTCGAACTCACAGAACTTCACCTTCCTCAGTCTTCCGAGTGCTGATATTAAAGTCATGTGCCACCACCACTCAGCATAACCCAAATTTATGTGAACCAAATATCATGATTTTATAAAGAAATACTTTTATCCTTCATAAAATATGACAGAAATTAAGTCACTTTCACTTTTTCTCTCTCTGTTGTATGTTTATTTATAGGATTTTGAAATAAAAATATGCAACTTCAGAAGTTCATCAAAAGTTCCTCAAATAGAAGGAACTGTTTTTGCCAATCTGAAATTAAATATGACAGCTAGGCCCCCAGGATCATAAAATCTATTCTTCTATTTAGATTTAGCTTTTCAGATATTTTTGCCATTAATTGGTTATTGATGTATTTTTTGTTATTTAATAGTAAGCATTTATATTTACTAAAGAAGTAAACCTGATTTATTTATTTTGTGTTTTTAGAATATTCACAGAGAAAAAATGATTCTTGTTGGGGAAGTTAATAATAAGTGGCAACCACGACATTTTACATAAACAAATAATTTATATGTTTAAAGCTGGGACAAAGAAAAGAAGTGCTGTGACTTGGCTTCCCAAAAAGAAGCCACTGACCTTCGGAGATGAGCAATAAGTGATGTAGAACACAGGCGTTAGCTATGTCAGGCAGGTACAGGGGACATGGGGCTGATTTCTCACTGGGATGACATTCTTCCAGGCTGGTGCTTTACTTCACCGTGTGAAACTGCAACCTCCTGTGTCCTAATGTCTTTACGTACACATGAAATTTTTTATTTAAAATTTTTTACATTAAAATGTAAAAACATCATTCCTCACTTATGTTTTTTCTCCAACATATCCCAGATGCCTCTCCTTGCTCTCTTTCACCTTTATAGTTTTTTTCTTCATAAATTATTGTGTTAAAAGAGCCAAGTTCACTACGTCTTTTAGTGGGGAAGTAGATTCAACAAATTTCTCGTTTCTAAATTTCAAAGAATTGTATGTGTATGTGTTAAAGCATTTGACTACTATCTAATTTTATGTGTTTGGGTTGTTATAAATACTACCGCTTCATTCTCTGTTTCCTGCAATCCTTGAAAGAACCTCGTATAGTAGGTATTATTAGCAGTTCCCATCCTACAGAAGAGGACTTGGATGTACTGAGAGATTAGAAGTCGTCTTAGAGTTACTTAGGTTGAAAACTCCTAAGTGTCCTAACTTGACTGAGTAGCATCCAATCCAGAAGTGTGCCTTCCTCTATTCATACTTCTCAATTTATATCAGGGCTTATGATGTTAGAGTTAATGGGTGGCTTCATCTTTGACACTACACTGGCTAATCTAAATTCAAAACTATCTTGTCAAATGAGTTATTAAAAGAGAATCAATTTATATTAGCATTTTCCCCAAAAGGAACCACAAGTTGACCACAGTGCCCTGTGATCTCTTTTCTCAGATAGGTCTCAGTTATGAAACTGGAGCAGAGCAGGAATGACACTGAGCTGACAGAGTTTATTCTGCTGGGATTCTCGGTATCTCCAAAAGCACGAGTTCCCTTATTCTTACTGTTCCTGCTTATCTATTTGACCATTGTATTGGGAAATATCAGCATGTTAATTGTCATTAAAATAGACTCCAGACTTCATACACCTATGTATTTCTTTCTTCAAAATTTATCTTATTTAGATCTCTGCTATTCCACAGTCATTGCACCCAAAACTCTAGCTACTTTTTTCTCCAAGGACAAGAAAATTTCATACAATGAGTGTGCAACACAGTTCTTTTTCTTTGCTCTTTTTGTTGGGACAGAAGGTTTCCTCCTGGCCGTGATGGCATATGACCGCTTCTCAGCCATCTGCTCACCTTTTCTGTACACTATACGCATGTCTCAGTCGGCTTGTATTCGTTTGGTGGCTGGCTCCTATATCTGTGGATGCATAAACTCCATGATACAAACAGGATTCACCTTCAGCTTGCGTTTCTGTGGAGAAAACAGGCTGGACCACTTTTTCTGTGATGTCCCAGCTCTGATTAAGATCTCCTGTGTTGACACCTTTGTGAATGAGATTGTACTGTTTATTCTCTCTGCTCTCATAATCATCTCCACCACAACCATCATTCTGGTTTCCTATGGGTACATTCTTTCCACTGTCCTGAAGATCCCCTCCACCCACGGCAGGAGTAAGACCTTCTCCACTTGTAGCTCTCATATCATTGTGGTGAGTTTATTCTATGGAACTGTGTTCTTCATGTATGCCCAGCCTGGGTCCATCTCCTCACCAGAGAAAAATAAGATCGTGGCTGTGTTCTACACCCTTATCATCCCAATGCTGAATCCTCTGATTTATAGCTTAAGAAATACAGAGGTAAAAAATGCTGTGAAGAAGATATTACTAAGAAAAATGCCTTGGCATTGACTGCAAATTTCCCTCAAAACTATGGAATCAACTAAAAGCAACATTATCAATAATTTATGGCATAGCTCAATCAAAGGTATCTCAAAGTTTTGGATTCTAAATTTTATTTTTTTTTCTTTTGGTGATATCCCAGATTTTCATTGTTTCTTGTATAAAACAATAGTGTTATAGCTAGGTATTACATAATTTTAAAACTATAATTAAATGCATTACTACAAAATTAAATATATATATATATTAAATTGATTAAAACTATCTTTCCACAGTTTATTTAACAAAAAATTTGATGGTCAGTATCATTTATGCTTGTCTAGTTCATATTTATGTATCTTATTTCAAAATTTTATGTGTAAGTTAAATTATACAATTTCCCCTGAATTTGAAAAGTTATTTCCATGAAATGACATAAAATATTTTCTCATAATAATCTGAGCCTTTCAATGTCAGTAGACATGCTCACTATCTCAAATATCCTTCCTAGTACTTTCTTCTTGTTTTCTCTATTAAACGTGCCATGGAATTTGCTATGAAGTTCATTTTGAGATCCATATCCATTTCTTAAATAATTCCTCTTGGTGTGTCAAGTTGTTATATGTATCTTTGCTTTTGTTTTATTTTGCTGAGGTGTATTCAAAATTACAAAAGTACCAAAATTAATGTATATACCGAATATATCACTGGAATAGCTGCATATAAATCTTCATGCCATATAACTGTTTTATTTTCTCTAAGGTTTTCTGATTTTTACTAACTTTCTTTTTGTGAGTTTAAATATTGAATAGTGTCTCCTTAGTTTCATGCAGTGTGTTGAAGAGCTGCACAATCATCAGTATAGGTGTACAATTTCATGTTTCGTGTGTTCTTCTTCTGTCGTGTGTATTATCGATTTTACAGCGGGACTATTGAAGCGGATTTCTAACTTCGGCACAGTCCACTTACTTGACTCATGTCTTATTATTTTTTCTAGTTTTATTATTGGATTTAAAGGCACTAAAACTTAAAATGATCTTAGAAAAATTCTTATTTTTAATTAATTTGTATAGTCGCATGAATGGGACAGGGCTAGTTCTCCTACACACTACCTCCTGCATTGCGGTGCTGTGACCCTTCGAGGGGAAGCTCTTCCATGAGGGATAGATCCAGCTCTTCCACTCTCATGGATAGTAACATGGATTCAGGTGACAGCCCTGACAAGGCCTCAGATATCAACATGGTCCTTGGCCACATCAGGACCATTGACCCCCTCACAGCCCTCAGTGACTGCATGGGCCATGAGCTTCAGCATTTACTCAGGTGGCTTCATATGCCACTCACATTGGTATGGCTTCCCGAGGGAGCAAATCCCGAGGTCATCACCAAGGTATTAGATAGCAGCACAGACTAAATTTCTCCACATGAATCTCAGGCTTTATCACAGCCTGGGCAACTTTATGGACCACTGACATCAACATGACCTCTGGTAGCATCACTGATCAAGGTGGTCCTTTGAGGAGGTCTTATCCTGATAGTGAACCTTTCCTCATCTTGGACCTCCATCATTGCCCAGAGTCAGGGTGATCCTGAAGCTGGACGGAAGGTTCAGGAATGAGTGTGCATCTGCATAAGCTCCAGGCTGTTGTACACCATCTGCTGACCCTACTTGGCAATAACAGCATGTAGACCAGCATGTAGACCTTACCTCTCTCATCTATCACAAGCATCATTTCTTCAGTTCCACCTCTCTCCTGAGGTCATCATCTCCGTTTCTCTATTCCCACTTTCCATCACATATTGATTGTAGAGGCACATGTCCACCATGGTCTGACAGACCAGGGCAGCACTTATGTGTCTTGGGCCCTTAGGCTGGAGTGGTGCTTTGGGGAATATTTTTTAATATGGAAAACACTGATGATTTAATATTAGAAATTTCAGAGTAATATAAAAATTTTCTCAAAAGATTTAAAGTAAGCCTGAGTGAAAACATTTTATGATTTTGTGACACACTACTATAGGATATTTAAAAAATAAAAATAAAATTCAAAATGAAGTTAACAGTAAGGTCATTTGCATGTCTAAGGGAGAAAATAGAGTAAAATGATCAGAATATAATGAGGAAGTATGTATATATGCAGATATTGAAAGGGTCAACTAACAATGAGGAAATATTTTATAAAAATATTTTTTTTAAATATTTATTTATTTATTTATTATGTATACAATATTCTGTCTGTATGTCTGCAGGCCAGAAGAGGGCACCAGACCTCATTACAGATGGTTGTGAGCCACCATGTGGTTGCCGGGAATTGAACTCAGGACCTTTGGAAGAGCAAGCAATGCTCTTAACCACTGAGCCATCTCTCCAGCCCCTATAAAAATATTTTTTAAATTTAGAGAAAAATTCCTACTTTTAATTCAAAGTTCACAAAAATTTAGGAATAGTTTAGTAAGACATATATGATCTTTCTATATAGATTTTGTAAAATTTGGTCATCCACATGATAGAATATATGTTAAAAATTTATAAAAGGTACCAGCCTTATGTGAAAATAAATACACATACGAGGCTTATATTAATCATGCTTCATTTGATGCTCAGGGTTTTGGGGTACAAATTAACATGGATACTGATTCCATGACTACTAGAACCAGCTCAAAATGTTTGGGGCCGAAAAGTCTCCCGCCTGGCTTGATTTAACCTATGTGGTTTTCTGTCAAAACCCCACCACAGCAGAGGTAGCCCCTAGGTAGGCTCACCATGCAGTGACTTGGCAATTTCTCCAGCTCACACTCACCTTTCCCCGCTGCTTTCCCTGGCACACAGCAATTTGGGCAGTTTGTGTTTCCAGATAACAATTTACTGAGTTCTCATAATGGAGGAAAGTTCACTTGATTAAAAAATAATCAATAAATTTGAAAGTTATATAATGGCAGACCATTATCACCATCCAGAAATATAATAACGTTTTTGCTTATATTATGGATGATATTCTGCAAGGCTTATATGGTTTTTCTGATATATCTATTTATTTGATATTGGGACTTAGCTTTGCTTTTCGTATTATATCTTTATTTTATTATTATTATTATTTATTTATTTATTTATTAAAGATTTCTGTCTCTTCCCCACCGCCGCCTCCCCTTTCCCTC